AAGGTAGTCATATTCGCATGATTAATCGAACGTCTTCCAAAGTGACGTAAGTTCTTTTTTTGGTTACATTTGTTTTAAAATAAAACCACTTCATAAAACGTAATATGTAATATATTCCATATAGATACATCACTATGACGTATATGTTAAAAACATTTTGTTTTCTATTTATAATATTTATATTGTACTAGTTCATGTAATACGCGTAATACATAGAATATAAATTGTGTACTAGGTACATGAAATCACACAAAATTTGCGTTGAGCTTCCAACACGATTAGATGTATATACAGAAATAAAAATCCATTCTCTTTTATAATAACTTTTTTCTATCTTTAGAAACTAATACTTATTTTTAGGTGAAAGGCGCACCTCACCGCTCGTTTTCTGCAATTGACGGGGAGTTTAGGAGAGCATTAATGCTCTATCAATTGCAAATTTCACTTAGTTTGCAGCGTCTGAAACCCCGATGTAGCTTGGACACGCCATAGAATAGTAAAGTAAAACAAGTAGTGCAACTCCCGCCTATATAACGCATCAATGCCTACACGTCGCTCAGAGAGTAGGGTTGTCAGGTCTATATTTTATTTGTACCTACTGGTTGTAGACAATAAAAAATTACGGTGTTCTTTACAGTATTCTTGTGCTATGTTGAGATAATGTTTGTTAAATACAGTACTTACGTATTAATTAATTTTATATTCACATCGCGTATCGGTGTCTGGATTATGAATGTATGATTATGAATTAGAAATAAAATAATGAACAGTTCCTCTTCGTCTTCTTAGGTTGCTAACAGATTGATGCAGCTAATGCGTGGAGTAATCAAGTTCATGCAGCCGAGACTTTCACTGCATGTAAATTGATAACGACTACACGCACTAACTGCATGCAGCCAATCTCGGCTGCATGAAGTTGGTTTCGACTGCATGGGATTAATGCGTGAAGTTAGTTCCGACTGCATGAACTGCAAACATGCAGTCAATCAGCAGCCTTATATGGCATTGACTACAATGCTACCCATACCCATTGTGGGGAAAAGGTTTGGCAATCGGCATAAGATACTCGACGATTGTTCTTCAGGGTGCTACGTCGTGCAGGGAGGTATCTTTCGTGCACACCTTGAACAATTCTGATTTAAGGCACTCTTGTTAGAACAACTAAAAACACAGTGATTTCAATTCTGTAATGAATGGCGTGTGCCATAACCCGTGTTGTGCTACTCGAGTACACTGCGAGATTACGCAAAAGTGTGCGTCTGTACACGCGCGCACACATACAAGCTGCGCTGCTGCGTTGAAGTAACATTACTTGTCATATTATACTATGGCTATAGCGAGTGGTAGGTGTGCTTCGTACCTTAACAAAAAGGCTTACAATATTTTATATCTCTTATGAGTCTAATAGGAAAATAAAAAATTTTGAGCTTGTAAACGATTGAAATAACGAAATAATTTTGAAAGAGAATTATTGTAATTGAGACACAACAAATGTTATTATAAAATTGAGAATCGTAAATATTGTAAGCTTGTTTTTATTTAAGTATTCAGTTGTTTCTAACCTTTGAGTTTATTGATATTGTTCTAAAAAATGTGCCAACCAGTATCTACTGAATTAAACGAGTACTTAACAATGTAGCCAAAGTACATCGTTTTGTAAATTCAGGTCGAAACAACTGGCAACGTTTGTAAATTCTTAACTTCTAAGATTTTGTACTTAAGATTTAATTGAAAAGCAATTTTAATATAATTGATTTATGTATGTCTATAATTAATTAATTATCTTTGATGAATCAAGTAATAATTATTTTTAAAATCACCTCAATGGTTTTAGGAAGTAGGAGATAAAAAACAAATTGGAAATATTATATTTTATTTTATAATTGTGCATCTTTAATATACCATAATGAAGATTTTAGAAATATGGATGAGCCATGTGGTTGATAAATACGAAACTGATAAGATTGATGTCCAGTAGTAATGAAGTACTAAATAAATGAAAACTGTCAATTGTCAAGAATGTATAATACTCAAACTTGCTGCTTAGAAGTCATATATATAAGATAGCTTGTTCAATGTTGACAAATGTATTCGTTTAAACTTTGTATCTTTTTCTGTTACATTGTATTAAACGAAACTTTTAAGAATAAAAAATAGGGCATAGGAATGCGCCCTGGGTGACACCTTCCTATCCTACTTACATAATTAATTTGCTTGCATAGTGTTATTAAGGAATTTACAATAACTCTCCTAATTCCTAAAACATCACTGTCAATGTCATAATTGTCTAGGTTAAGATCAATGTATGTTTCAAAATGTCTTGTTAATGATAATAATTAATGTCTTCTAGTGCTAATGAATTCTTTCGTTTGTTATTGAATTATTTTTCACCTTTCTCGTCACGAGTAACGGTATTTGACGAGTGGAAATTTAAATTCACTCGTTTAAACGCATTTTACGTAGTGTGTTCATTAGGGCGATACTTTGTAATTTTATTAAGTTCTTCTTATAGTACCTCTCCGCCTAGTGAAAGTTTGCCACCAATTTTGTATACTGCATTGGTCTCGCGAGAGGTGTAATATGTTGCCTGAGCTCGCAACTCCTGTCCTTCAATGCTATCACGCCACATGAATATGATAATATTTGATTAACAAAGACCTTGTAACGCTACGTAGCCACTATGTTTAATTTTTTAATCTTTCCTCGTACTTGTCACGTAACTTCTCATTCATTCATACAACATTCTTTTTAATGTTTTTATTGGTGTAATTTCTCTTTCAATATTTTTCGATCTTGTAGGTTTTCTTTTTGAGTGAATAAAAAGTGAAATATAACAGCGGTTGAAATTTCCACTCGATCAAATGGACCAGTGAAAACGACATTTGCAAAACGAACACCATACTAATAATACAAATTATAGATTAATAGAGAATAACATGAGAGTGAATTCCTACATTTATTTTAATATTAAGGTATTCTAATGACACACAATAATAGTATAATAGTCTATTACGGATCTCACTAGTCACATAGTATTAGTGTTTGTTCGTTATCAAGATGCCACTGAAGTATTTTTAAGGTTTATGCACTATGAAATTATAATAAAAAATATATAAATAATAATAAATACATAGGACGTTTTAAGTCATAATAGCTCAATAATTTATGAAAGTGTATAAAAATAAGCAATTATATAAATAATAATGTTTAGGTTATTACGCAGAATTAATGTAAGCGCGAATATACATAATAGATTTAAACGCTAAGGCATAGACATAAGTTCCATTTTGTAATGATAAAATTAATAAATCAAGCACTACCACATACTATTATGAATACACTCATGACTTCTTACTGCTAACATTGAAATGTATTATAAATATGAACTATAAATATTAAATGTTATGCGTTAATAATAAATAAGTGTTTCCTTTGAATATCCCGTTCCTTCAAAAGAAACTAAATGATCCACTTGGTTCCATTGATAGGACTTCTTAATGGAACTAAATAGACTCGCACGCACGAGGGTTGGGAAAACCTGTCAAAGGAGTGAAGTGGATTAACGGAATTTGTTATTAGTTAAAATTACTCACTTTCAAATACAAACATTATATAATATGCACCACAGATACAGGTTCCAGACCTGTCGAGTCGAAGGAATTATTTTTTGTATTAAAATATAACAAACCACTGGAGTACCATCGTGATATTCAATGAAAATCAAAACCTATTACAATTAAAATGCGACATCTCACGTCAGACTCTGGTAGCTGAGAAGGTACCAGCTAAGTAAGAAGTTTCATAGATCTCTCACAGGTGTCGCTTATGGTCGAAAAAATCCACTACAAAAGATCTGTAACACTTATACTCTGTCTTTTTTGAAGACAGAGCAAAATGACAGTTGATTGCGCAAAGGTGCTGTCCGCTTGCAAGCTAGTGATTGCAGTCGATAAATGTCATATCGACTATCGATTGAACGTTGGTTGCGCTTGTGAAATAAATAGGCGAAATTGTTTCATTTGATTCATCATCGGCCCATTATACGTTCAACTGTTGGGCACATTTGATTTGTTGATTTTTGAAAATTCAATCATAAGCTAAATTTAAAAGTATGTATATTAAAAATACTAATAGGATACATATTTAATTTTTTTTTATTTTAATTTAATATAATTCTATACTCAAATACGTCTGTCATTCATTATCAAAATGTGTATGACTAAAAATTGATTTTGATACGCAATTGGTAATCATTAGAACGTCATAACATATACAATTCAGGAATTTTTGGCAAAATATTACCTACGTTCACAATCTATCGATAAAACTGTCGACAACTATTACATGACTATTTAAAATTTTACGAAAGCTGGCAACCGGGCAATCGTAATTTTACTCCATCTTCAAAAAAGACAGACTATAGAGAAATTCGTAAGGTCTCTTGTCTCGATCTGTAGCTCAGTTGGTAGAGCAGTGGCCCTGGTTAGGTACAGATACAGACATGGATGTGGGCAAGGGGTTGAGGTAATAGTGATAGAAAGTACGTTCGATCCACATGATTTTATTATAGAAGTATAACAAGGAAAACGTGAAGGAAGGAAGATAGGAATCACATTTAAAGTATAGGCTATAACAAAAACAGGTAGGTATAAAAACAGGTACCTACTATAATATAAAAACACTCCCTACAGATTATAACTTATAGTTTATTATTACATGATTAGTGAACTTGCCCCAAAGGACCTGTATTCGTATCATTGCTGCTTATAAGCAATTAGGTTTACATGGTACGAGGATACGGTCTTTTCTCTCCGAGAATTTTGATGGGAGTGGCGACGGAACGAAGCACAGTAAGAATTACGAGGCAAAAGAAATAGAGAACGATTCAAAATTTCAAAAATAAGTGGCCGGGAACCAGAAAAAGGAGAGATAAAAAGGTGGGATGAAAGAGGTCGCGTTGTCACAAGGGGAACTATATATCTATAGGACGCATGAAGGGTTAGAAAAAACGAGCCTAAAAGAACTTTATTCGCTAGAACTTTTTTTTATCCAAAATTACTACTGAAAAGCGCCCAAGGTTTCAAAGATGTATCGACATTTGGTGCAGGGGCGTTATAATATCCTTGAGCCAAGTCCACAAGTGACACTGGGCACTTATACTGATCACAGCTGTCCAGAAGTTTGCCAAGGCGGTGTGCTGAATCGTATATTTCGTGCTCGGCGGGCTCGTAGGGAAGAACTTTGGACATTGGAAACCTGAAACCAATGTAAGTACTGTACTGAAGTATATATTTTTTAAGTTACACGGTAGTCGAGAATAAATAAGGTCCAAAATTGTTATTTGTCGTGCAAGGCTGCAAAGTTGTTGTTTGACGCAAGCGCTTGTAATACACCTGGGTAAGTGAAGGAGCCTAAGATTGAACTATGAGCGAAGCGAATACATTGGTTCGAAAATAGACTCCTGAGCGTAGCGAGGGTTTCAAGACACGAGATGCAAAACAACTTTACTGCCGAGCGAAACACACAACTTTTCACCTCACTATAACGAGGAAAATGGTAGATGAAAGAAAATCAGTTGAACTGTAACAAATTAGTTTTAATAAATAAAATATTAATTTTATCAACAATCAACAATATAAATAACGACAAATCGCGTAGTTGAAAGTGTCATTATGATTCTTTTTCTCATGAAAAGAAAAAGTTCGGTGCACCACAGCCTATCTTCAAGTTCGAATTCCAAAAACCTTCTCCATGCCAGCGTGGAACAACGCTTTTGTGCGCAGATTTCTAATGAGAAAGAAAGCCTATTCCGAGCTAGTGAGGTGAAAATATAATTTCATGGGTTTTAAACAAATTTATTATTTTTATTTTTTGATTATGTTTTTTATAATTGAGACTCTTAACATGCAGAAAAACTATTATTATATTGACGACCTCGGTGTCCTAACGATTAACAATATAGGCTCTGGATGTGCAGGACACGGACTCAATTCCAATTACTCGTATTACTCGGTTGGACCAATTTGGGAAAAGACTTTTCTAAATTGGTTCTGGTCTAACTGTTGTGGGAAGTGCCCCAGAGTGAATTCCGTTGCTCTGGTACTCAACATACAGGGAATTCCCAAGTTTGAGACCAGGCAATTGATTTGGTTGTCTTGTACATTATTATTATTATTATACATATTATTAATAAATAAAAAATATTTAAAAAATATTGCTTAAATTACAATCAATAAAATTTACAGTTAAAAGCCAGTCTATTAAATGTTTTTAGTATCTGTGTTAGGTGGACTCGCTCTTTTTAATCTCAGAAATTTATAATTATACCATCACGCCTTTCTCCCATTGAAGTAGGCCTATGCCTACCTGGTCTCTATCACAAACCTCCACTCATCTGTATCTACATACGATCTCGCACGCGTCCATTGGTACTTTTAATTTAACTTTTTTCTGACAACCTCTTTAATAACAAAGGTCATAAGTTTTCAGTAATCAACACATTCGCACGAGCTACATACTATGCCGCCCTAAATATTTGTAAGTGACGTAGAACATAGCATAATTTATTTCGTTTCATCAAAGAACGTAAGATAACGTTATTTGCCTACACAAAATCTTAATACTGACGTCATAACATATCAAAATGTTGAATCTCTAGCAACACGCAGTATCGAAATTTCACAGGATAAGTAAGCACTGTTAACACATACCAATGACCTCTGGCATACACGCGCACCGTCTGTAGACGATTTATAAGTTTATAATGAAGTAGCAGGTGAGCTCGTTATGAAAGAGTTCGTCCAGGGAAGTACGTAGGGCACTCAATAAGTTTTGAGATGCTCGAAATTTAAAAATGGAACGCACCCGTATTATATGTTTTTAAAAAGCAAATTTATTTAAAAATAGATCACCAAAAGCAATTTAGATAAATTTAAAAAAAAAATGACATTGTTAGTCATTTTATTACAACGCTTCCCGCGCTTTTTCTTTACAATAATGGATCTTAACCGTGAACATTTGCGTGCTATGATCTTCTATGATTTTAAATGTGGTTTAACTGAACAATTGAGTTTGGAACGTTTGCAGTCAGCATTAGAGGACTCTGCTCCTTCTCGTGCAACAGTTTTTAGGTGGTTTAAGGAATTTAAAAGAGGCAAAACTAACCTTGAAGATGACCTAAGAGGCGGACGCCCGGAAACAGCAGTTACTGCAGAAAATGTGTGGACGTCTGAAATGTTGGTGCGAGAAGACCCACGAATCACGTACACGAACATTGAGAAGATCCTAGGCATTAGTTCGGGAAGCGTCAATACTATCCTGCATCAACATGTTGGAGTGAGGAAGCTTTGTTGTCGATGGATCCCACGATTGCTCTCCGGTGCTGAAAAACAGGCTCGAGTGGATTGGTGCCGAGAAATGCTTATACGTTTCGAAAACGGGACATCGAGACGTGTTTCAGAAATCGTTACTGGTGATGAAACATGGATCTATCAATATGATCCAGAAAGCAAGAAGCAGTCGTCGGTGTGGGTCTTCGCAGAGGGACAATTACCGACAAAGTTGCAAAGACCTCGAAACGTCGGCAAAAAAATTGGTAGCTAGTTTTTTTTCTCGGAGCGGACATTTGTCGACGTCAATGTTAGAAAATAGTACGTCTGTTAATTCAGAATGGTACACAACAGTAGCATTGCCAAAAGTTTTCCAAGCTGTGCGGGAGAGGAGACCAAAGACCGGGCTTCGGGGAATCATGCTACATCACGATAACGCCTCTTCACATACGTCCCTCAGAACAAAGGCGTTTATTGAGGAATCTGGTATAGAAACCTTAAATCACCCGCCGTACAGCCCTGACTTGGCTCCCTGCAATTTCTTTTTGTTCCCAACAGTGAAGGATAAAATCAAAGGAAAATTTTTTTTGAGTGTCGAAGAGGCAGTAGCTGCCTACGAAATGGCAATTTCAATGTTGACGGATCAAGACTGGCAAAAGTGTTTTCAGAGTTGGTTTAGACGAATGAAACTTTGTGTAGATAATGATGGAGAGTATTTTGAAAAAATGTAAAATAAATTATATTAATATGTTTGATATTTTTTCTTTATCTCAAAACTTATTGAGTGACCTACGTACTGCCACCTTACCTATTTCTGCCGCCAAGCAGTAATCTTAGCATTACTGTGTTCCGGTTTTGAAGGGTTAAGGTTGCTGGTGAAATTACAGGCACATGGGACTTGTCAACTTATGTCTCAGGGCGTTGGGGGCAGTAGCAGTGCCTCTTAGATCTTCGCAGGTTGAAGCTATGAGTGGCACTGCAATTGTCACGGACAGGCGTGAACTCGATGTTATAAAAAAAAGACGTCATAGCTAATTAACACCAGTATCATTATTTGTTACATTCACTTGACGTGACGATGAAACATTTATAAGTTTGTATAACTTATAAGAAATATTTCTGCCATAGCACATCAATCAGCAAAAGCACGATACTCTCGAGAATGTGTTAAGAACATAGAAACCGTTAGATTGGTACAATTTGGCGACTTTCAAAGTTTACAAGTATAATACTAATAGAAACATCATAATCTCAGTACAGAGTACTAAAAAAACCGACCTCAAAAGTACGTGGAATTACGTCTATTTGCTAAATTTAATTGAAATATCCCCTAGTTCGCCACTATACAGGACTTGATACTGGAGATAATAAAAATAGGTTCTCACTACGACACTACTCAAAGTATATCGAGGGAAAAACGCCTTGAATTGATGAAATAGCAAAATCAACTAAATAATTGCTAAAAGTAATTGCTCCTAAATTAAAGTTAGGCGCTATTCATAAAAATGAATCTTCATGCGTCACCCTTTGAGGTGGATGATTTCCTTCAAAATGAAATGGGACCACTATGGAAGTACCTCCTTTCCAACAAAAAAGAATCATGAAAATCGGTTCACAAATACCGGAGTTATCGCGTAACATACATACAAAAAAAAAAAAAAAAAACATACAGTCGAATTGAGAACCTCCTCCTTTTTTGAAGTCGGTTAAAAATTGATACCAATTTGAAAGGCCTGTGCTTGTTTGTACTCGAATTGTGCGCCTTTATAATTCCGAGAACGGGTACGAATTTTACTGAAAAATTACTGTTGAGTGAGTTCTTAGTTCAATATTGATACTAAAATTATTCTTTCAGATCTAAATCGCGTGTATTTGTTTTCTCAAACCAATTCACTTTTCGGACTATTTTATGATAAAATAAATACTCATTTGACCTTCATCTTACCTAGAAAAGAAAGTGATGATAAGGTGTGGAATATGAACATCAAAATAATAAAATTTAAATTTAAATAAAAAGAACGTAATTCTTTACAGTAGTGCGATTCACTTCAAGCTATCAAAATATCGTCGAAATTACGTAGTCGTTCGACTGAAGTCCTATCCAAAGTGAGCATTCACGTATCACTTGAACGAACGTTGACACGAGTAGAATCGAAACGTAACAACTAATGACCGACATCTTGGATTGTGAAATTTGACATTTATTCGTCGAAAGTGTATTGAAAGAACTGTCAAAATTTTAACAGATTTTTTTTTATAACTTATATACATGACAGGCAAATGACTCCACTCCACCTGATGTTAAGTGGAAAGTGGTATCCAAACGCGAAGGAACCTAGTGCAGCGATGAAATCCTCACTGCACTAGCCACCTCCACCCTGCCTGCCTACAGTATGCCTCTTCACGCCTCGTTTGAAGGACCCCATATCATAAGAGGGAGGGAAGACATGTGCCGGAAGGGAGTTCCATTTGTCAACCGTGCGGCAGAGAAAGGAGCCACCGAACCTTTTAGTACGCGATGGAATTCGGCAGGTAGTGAAACGGTGACTACGAAGGCCAGCACGCGTGCTTCTGAGCAGGAACGGGGAAGGGGGGATGAGGTTGAACAGCTCTTCAGAGCACTCACCATGGTACATGCGGTAAAAGGCGCTAAGCGATGCAACATCTCTACAGAATACGTATGACTTGACATTTAGAGTCGATTCAAGTTGGATTCATATACCAGAACACGCTTTAACGACATTTGGATCGAATGACTTTAAAATTGGACTCGTTGACGTTCACTGTCACACGGGAATACGAAAAAGCAGTTCAACGACTAAATCGCTACGATATCGTAACGGTTTGATTACGTGAATCACCCCCAGGACGGTAAATCTATTAATCCACATATATCTTCCCTGGCCAGCAGATTAAGCTCCGCTGCATACACAGTCCGCAGAATACGTGAGCTTACCGATGTTAGTACTGCTAGACTAGTTTACTTTAGTTACTTCCATAGTATAATGTCCTACGGGATTCTCATGTGGGGTAAAGCGGCAGATATTCAAACCATATTTGTATTGCAAAAACGAGCGATTCGTTCTGTGTACCGTCTACGCTCTCGGGTTTCTCTCAGAGAAAAGTTTAAGGAGACTGGTATCATGACTGTGGCATCACAGTACCTTTACTCAAATATTTTATATGCCCGTAAAAATATACATAATTTCAATAAGAAAGAAGTTATTCATAATATTAACCTTAGAGCTAAATCCAAACTCATGGTGCCACGATTTCGTTTAACCAAGGTAAACAACTCTTTTATGGGGAACTGTATACGTTTTTACAATAAGATTCCGGAGCATATATTAAGTTTATCATTTCCTAAGTTTAAAAAGTACATTAAAAATATTTTGACCGAAAAATCATATTACAAAATTAAAGACTACGTGTTAGATAAAGATGTATGGAAAGACGACATGGATCCAGAATCCACACAAATTTGATTCAAAGTGTATTCCATTGCATTTAAGTTTATTTGAAAAGAGCAATTCCTAGAGTTTCTTGCTCGTTCTTCTCAGGGAGTCCAGCGTAGTGAACGAGCAGTAGCTTAAATGTGACGTTTTCAAGTGTAAATTTATTTTACCTACGGAATAAATAATCTTTGACTTTGACTTTGGCTTTGAATCAATTTTAACGCAAACCACCCTATTTTGGACTATAGTTTCTTTTAATTAGCCTGCTTAGTCTCATTGTTCTGCATTGCATTGAAAGTAGACTCTTTACTTTCACAGTTCCCTGATAGATAGTTTCCAGAATCTCTCGCCGGAAAGTGAACGATGATGTTAAATGTCCGTCTTATTGTTGTGATTATTCCCATTAAGTTCAGAGTCAGGAATATTATTTGAAGCTAAAAATCTTATTCTTACCTTCTGTAAAATGTAAAAACAAAGCTAAGGAACAATCAGTCTCGGACCCATTGGCTCATTAGCCACTGACACAAAAGATACCATTTTACTTCCCCCACTGCTTTTAAAATAATGAGAATTTCCTATCTGCTTTGTCGGCAGACTGATAACTTGTCTTGACTCAATTCTGCAAGGATTTTGTACAATAAAACCGTAATTTATCTTCAATTAGAGAATGCTATTAAAAAAGTAGATTCTTCTTTTGTTACCAATGCAGAACATGTTATTTAGAAGAACGTCATATCAACATAGGCATCAGATGTGGAAATGCTAAATGGTAAAATGACGATCATCATAAATTTTTAAATTACATTTTAGGAAAACCCCTTGTTGGATTTCATAAATTTAATTGTAATAAATGCGTTTCTGAAGTACAGGATTAAACAATTCATATTGAAGTTTAAGCTGAATTTCAAGATACAGAATAAAATCCCTAAAGTAGATGCTCTGAATAGACAAGCGTGTTTAAAATTAATACAATTGGAGGAAGAGACCATATTGTTATAAACAACACTAGTAGAACTCACAATATTGGCGAAAATGAAACATTTATAAAACATCATACTTTTTTATGATTCCAACTAACGGGATGAACAAATAGTGCGCCTGGTGGTAAGCGACACGCCTACCCATAACAGTTGCAGTGCCAGAGCTTTAAATTGCAAAGAACTGAAGTGCACTGCCACTACGCACGTCACCTTGATATATAAAGTTGTCAAGTCTCATGTGCCTGTAATTTCACTTGTATCTTTACGCTTCAAATTCGGAACGCAGTAACATTCACGTTACTGCTTGGCGGCAGTAATAGGAAATGAAATCCTGCCAACTTATATGTATTAAGAGGGCGATAAACGCTACAAATGGAAGGTTAGGAATGTTACTCACGTAAACAAAGTCCTAAACATTTCTTCAATCATATTGCCGCCATGAGGGACCATCCGCTGTGTAGTTTCGCAAAGTGTCCTCAAAATGCATTGCCTGCCATTGTAACCCATGCTGAAAGTATTAATAATAATAATAATGTATTTATTTCTCTCCACAAACATAACAATTGCACATGAACAAAAGAAAGATAGACAAAAATAGTGTTTATATTATGTTTGCAAAAGACTGGTACCTAAACTAAGTATAAGCTTGTAATATAGGATACCAGGTCTGTCACCACAGACAACTTACACTTTCTCTTAATACTATGATTGCAGAGGTTAAAATTAAGTTTAAGATTCGAAAGAGAAGGTTATACAATAGTGAAAAAGATGAAAGAGATGCTGAAAGTATAAAATACGATTATTTAATCAGAAGTTAAACATAATTGACAACTTTGGGCGTCAATGTTCGTAACTTCAGTCGGAATTTTAGTTCTTTGAAATTCCACAGCATTAACTTTGAAAATGAAGTATAAAGTTAAATGCGTATCTATCTATAGACCTTCATGAAGAAGGAATTTTGGCTGATGGGTGTAGTCTACCGACCTTTCCAAGGTCGGTTATCAGACACCATATTGCGTCACACATCGAAGACAAGTGCATTTCGTGTAAATTAGTTTTTATATCATATTTATATTTTATTACATGTTTGTTAGTGTTTAAGGTATAAATTATATGGGTCATAATTGCCTGATAGAAATAAATGAACGAAAACAATAATGCAATGAAAGCGCGTGTACACGATAAGGAATTCGCCGTGTCTGCTACAGAAAAGATGAGAATGGTCTCGTGCATGACAAGGACTTTGTTGGATCTAGCCACGAAAACATGTCGTGTCTGTTACAGACGAGAAAATGATGAGTATGTACACGATACGAATGCTTTCGGACAGTCGTGTGTAGGGTAAAATGTGTCAGTGCATTACGAATCTTCAGGTAGCTGCCGTTTTACTAGCAACTGTGGGAAGAAATACGTTGTTGTATGTATATGTTCACTACTAAGTAACACCCGTCCACGAGCATAAATGTTCGTTTACTGAAAATGCACCTCACCCCGCCTCATACAATAACGGCAGAGCACGTCGTGTCGGGGGTAGACAAGATTTTTTTCTTGTCTACCGCCGAGGCAGTGTACACAATTCGTGTGTGGAAACAACAAGGATTCTTGCATAGACCTGGCGACTTTTCTTAGCGTGGACACGAGTTTAAAAAGCAGAAGTTTTGGGACACTTAGAATGAATTAATTATTTATTGCACATTAAACATTACAATGACAACACAAAACAGTAATTGCAACTATCACAGAGTAAGCTAATGTACACAGGCGGCCTTATTGCTAATAAGCTGGTGAAATAACAGGCACATGAGACTTGTCAACTTATGGTTTAGGGTTACGGGCGCAGTAGGAGTGTCCCTCAGAACTTTGTGGTTCAAAGCTCAGAGTGGCACAGCAACTGTTATGGACAGGCGTGTAGCTTACCATCAGGCCCACGGCTTGTTTATCCCGTCATTTGATATTACATAAAAAAGCTTGTTAATATATATAATTAGCAATTTCTTCCAGACATCTTTAGTATAGAAATTTAAGAGTTGTAAAAGGGGGTGCAACTAAATAATATCTATGTAATGAAAATGTTTTAAATAGATACACTACTTCATCACACTACTTACTTATCCAAAAGAGCTTCAATTTTCTCATACAGCTCTCGTCTGTTCCTTCTCATTGCCATTGGTTTTTTCAGCCTGTACTTGCTGTGGTAATAGCTAAGAGTTTCTGTGGCATTTGGAAGTTCATATGCTATGCCCCAGTTGAGGGCTAAGACGAAGGTGCCTGGAAAACTCTTAGGTGCTGGCTGCCCGATTAAGCCTACTGTCATGCAGACGGCACACTGAAAATTTAAATAATATAATTTACGACTACCTTCTAAGGATGGTTATAATAAATAGTTCCGGATTCCTAAAGTACGTATCCACTAAGATGTTACTTATATTTCGAGAAGTATATCAAGTTCTCCCATATTAATACTCTGCCCTTTATAGATTAAGGCGGATCGCCCGAGGAGGAGTGGGAAAAACTGTTTTGTTAGATCAAATGGATTATGAATGTACTATTAAATAACGATCTTACAAAAAAGATGCGATACACTTAATGATACTGTCTAAGGAATGTGCTAATTTGTTACACGATATAATGTACTTTATCTGATCATATAAAGTCCTGAAAACAGGCTATAATAAAAGTCTAAAACGAATTATTTAAATTAGGAAATGAAACTATTTTTCTGGTATTAAATCCCGTATATTTGTTTTTTCAAACAAACCGACGTTTCGGGCCCTTTACAGGTCCCATGGTCACGCTTGACTGGGGTGGTCTACAACCAGTTATCATATATAATCTGATATTGATGCAAGAGAATGATATTTTACCTTTCTTAGATGTTTTAATTAAAATAAATCCTAATAACACCTTAGGCCATACTGTATTTCGAAAGAAAACCCATACAAATAGGTATCTCAATGGTAATTCCCATCACCATCTTAGCCAGTTAGCTATCGTAGGCAAATCTTTGTTTCAGAGAGCACATGGTGTCAGCGACAGTAATCATCTGACAGGAGAACTTCAGCATATAAAGCAAGTCCTACGTGCGAATAAGTTGAAGATTCTACGCCAATGCCGCAGGCCCCGTGTGCAACCACCAACAGTCGAGCGAAGACCTGCCATCTTACCTTACGTGAGAGGTGTTACAGACAAGATCGGAAGAGTCCTCAGGCGTGCATCTATCAAGACCTATTTCAAGCCCCTGTGGAAGATTTCTCAGTTCCTGAGACCCGTGAAATGTAACATCCCCTTACAGGATGCAAGAGTTTACAAGCTTGACTGTGAGTGCGGTCTCTCTTATATTGGACAAACAAAGCGAAGTATTTGTACCCGCGTCAAAGAACATATAGCTGATGTCAAACACCGTCGCGTAAACAAGTCTGCAGTCTGCGAGCATGTCATGGATAAACCTATACATTCAATGAAGTTGGACAAACCCCAGGTCTTTGCAAAAGAAGTCCGTTATCTACCCATTTATAGAGGCCATTGAAATTAAAAAACATCCTAATTTCAACAGGGAAGATGGTTTCTCCGTACCACCAGTTTGGGATCCAGTATTTCCTCTAATGAAAAATCCCAAACAGACATAAGATTGCAGTACTAATTAATATGTTTTAGTTTATTCTAATTTCTATTATTAATTAATAATAAATTGAACTTAATAAAAATTCATTTAATAAAATAATTTGTAAAACATAATGTAGCGTAAATTGGAATGTTTTCTTTGTAAAATTAAAAATAAGGTATTTAATTAATAACTATTGTAACTGTAATGTGTAATGAAACGACGGTGGTTGGATGCAGACTGATTTTATTTTATGAACTCTGATCGTACCTACAATTAACTACCTTCAACATTATATTCACATCATCCTCCTTAAAACAATAAAAAAAATAAAATTCATACATGCAATTGCTTATTTCTAAATTACACAATTATACATATAATTTAGAAATTAATTTTAAATTTAAAAATTATTCTATAACATTAAATAAGTAGACCATATTGTTAAGAAAGTATTCAAACATTCATTTCATTAGATATTATAAGGGTTTATATTTAATTTCCTTGTATTTGTAATTTGCATCAATGAATTACACTAATTACTAATCTCATTGACTTGAAGTAAATAATGTATGCTGTACTTATTTTTATAGAATAAACAATTAACTCAGGATATTGTTAATTAAACGCAAACGTTTCAAATTACTAACATGAATTAAATACATTGACAACATAACACCTTTGTTCTTTAAAACTTATAAGCATTTTAACAATTATGTAACTTAAGGGAAAACAATATTACATTAATGGGTATATCCCCATCTATCCGGCGGCCTCACAAGCCTACCAGAACGAGTAACATAAGAATTTTGTTCAATATTAGTGTTAACATTTTTATCAGATAACATTATATCATCTTGATCAAAATTGTAGTCAGGCGTGTCCTGTCTTTGTGGCGAATCTATAATGATGTGTCTACGATTTCTGATGATTGTAACTCCCGTCGTTAATTGTACTTCATAGGAACGATTTCTTAATACACGAGTAACGGTTCCAGCTAACCAACGCCTCTTACAAATATTATTCATTTGCAAAATTTTTACTTTTTGTCCCACATGCAAGGAACACAAGTCCTTTGCGTTGCGGTCATAGTACATTTTTTGCTCTATTTGACGATTTACAATTTTGTTACGGATACATTTTTGTATTTTAGGTTTCAAATGAGCTAATGACATAGGTATAATGCTACGTAACTTTCTACTTTGTAACAATTCTGCGGGAGATGGAATGTCGTCTGCCAAAGGAGTATTTAAATATTCCAAAAAAGCAAGTCGATAATCTGTCCTATTTTCACTCGACTTTCGCATGATATTTTTTACCGTTTGCACTGTACGCTCAACCTGCCCATTCGATTGTGGGTAGTGGGGAGAGGAAGTAATATGAGTAAAATTCCATTCAGATGAAAATTGTCTAAAATTATGTGATGAAAATTGAGGTCCGCAGTCTGACATAACAACACAAGGAATTCCTTGGCGACTAAAAATGTCTTTCATGCACCCAATTATGTAATCGGAGCTAGTTATTTGTAATTCGACTACTTCAAAAAACTTACTATAATAGTCAATTAATATAAGATAATTTTTATGTTTAAAATGAAATAGGTCAGTCCCTACTTTAGCCCATGGCCTATCTGGAATGTCATGCGGCTGTAATGTTTCTTTCTGACAATTTTTTCTGTGCGATAAGCATATATCACAATTGTGAATCATGTTTTGTAAATCGTTATTTAGCCCGGGCCAAAAAACAGATTCTCTCGCCCTTAGTTTACATTTTTCTAAACCCATATGTCCTATATGAAGTTTATTTAAAATTTCTTTTCTTAATATTTTAGGAATAACTATTCTTTGATCCTTCCAAACAATACCAAAAGTTTCTGTTAAATTTTCCTTGTAATTCCAATACGGTTTAACCTCATTTATAATTTTATTTTTGTCTGAGGGCCACCCATTCATAATATATTGTTTAAGCGATTTTAACTCATCATCTTTTTCTGTATATTTTTGTATTCTTATAAGTTGCACATCATCAAATTGGTGCGATGCTTGTGCCATCATATCGCGCGTCACCTCACACACCTCGTCGTGCACTGAGCTGAACGAGTGCTCGGCAGCGTGACTCAGCGCGCTTGTGGTAGAAACGTCAGCCTCATGAGCTCGCGACAAAGTGTCTGCGATGTACATATATTTACCTGGTTTATAAACAAGTTTAAAAGTATAGCGCTGCAACCGTAACAACATTCTTTGCAAACGTGCGGGTGAATCTACAATCGGTTTTTTCATTATACTTATTAATGGCTTATGATCGGTTTCAATCACTACGTCTGATCTACCATATATATAAACATAAAATTTTTCACAAGCAAACAACACCGCATAAAGCTCTTTTTCGATTTGAGCGTATTTTTGTTCAGCGCTATTTAATGTTTTTGAAGCGTAACAAACTGGTAGGTTGTCTTGCAATAAACATGCACCGAGACCGGTTTTACTGGCATCTACCGACAGTACAATTGATTTTCTCATATCAAAATATTGCAGTACAGGACGGCTTGACAGAAGCTTTTTTATTTCCGAAAAGCATTTGTCCTGCCTGTCATACCATTGCCACTCGGTACCTTTCTTTAATAATTCTCGCAAAGCTAACGTTTTATCTGAAAGACTAGGAATAAATGACCCTACATACGTGACTAAGCCTAACAATCTTTCTACGTCTTTTTTATCTTTCGGTGTTGGCATGTTAGTTATAGCAGATATATGAGAATTGTCGGGATAAATGCCATTATTGGTTATCAAATGACCTAAGTACTTTATTTCTTTTAAACCGAACTTGCATTTACTTAAATTTAATTTTAAATTAATTTTTCTACATCTTTCTAAAACTTTCATTAAGTTTTTATCATGGCTGCTTTGACAAGACCCAAAAATCAGTAAATCATCAATGTACATACAAACACCCTCTAAATCGTCAAAGTTTTCAAACATTTTTTTGTGAAATACCTCTGATGCAGAGCAAATACCATACGGCATTCTTAAAAATTTGTATCTACCAAATGGTGTATTAAAAGTACACAATGAACTAGAATCATCCAGCAATACCTGCCAGAATCCATTAGACGCATCTAGTGTACTGAAGTACTTAGCACCTGCAAGCTTACCTACAATTTCGTCTAATGTAGGAATTCTGAAATGTTCTCTTTTTATACTCTCATTTAATTCTTTAGGGTCTAAACAAATGCGTAAGTCCCCATTTGGTTTTTTAACAACAGTTATACTACTAACCCAGTCAGACGGACCTTCAACTTTACTAATTATTCCTTGACATTCCATTTCCGACAGCTTATTTTTTACTTGATCTTTAATAGAAAATGGCAACTTTCTGGGAGCGTGTACGACTGGAACCGAATTTTCTCTTAATTTAATTGTATATTTTCCGGGTAAACATCCTAACCCAGTAAACACATCACTATATTGTTCTAAAAAAGTAGGTACAACTTCGTTACTCACCACACTTTTTTGTATTGACATCACACGCCTTACCACATCTAGTTCTGTGCATGCATCTCGACCTAGAATGGGAATGGATTGAACATCAGCAATTTTAAATTGTAGTACATAGTTTTTGTTTTTATAACTTACTCTTAAGTATATTTTTCCTAGAACTTGAATTGTATTCCCTGAGTATGCAGTTAATTTTGTATTTGTAGACAATAAATCAGTTTCTTTTAATCC